GCTATATCCTTGCATTGTAAACACCAGAAGGTTTTAAAAGTACTTACTCCAACATTGTTGCACCGGGTCACCATGTCTCTAAATTCAGTTTCATTTCCAGATCTTGTGCACAGCTTGTAGCTGACAGGCTGGTATCTTTCCCACCAGGGTTGCCGGGGGTCAGTAATGATAACATTTTCATTTGGAGGTGAAATCTGTCAATAAAACAAGGGCACTTGGTAACAGGATACTGAAAATGGTTAATTTGTTTGCCCAGTATTTTTAGAGAAATAGCATTTTTAGAGAACACTTAGATCCCTCAGTATCCTCTGCTTACACTGTAGTAGGTTGGAAACAAAAGACTGATTTTCTTTGTGACTTCAAGTTTCAAAAATAAGCATCTGAAATTGAAGAACTATGTCAGCAGAGGAAGGAAGTGACTGCATAACAACTGACATAACATCCTGCCTTTAAAACGGATCCAACTTCCCATTTTTGTAATGCTTTGGATGAATGCATTCTTGACCTAATTCTTGTAAGTTTCCAGGTGAGTTCTACCTCTTCCTTTTACAGACTTTTCAGGATACTTTTTAGGCAACAAGCTTTTGCTGCTACCTCCAAGCAAGTCATCATCTGAAAAAAACTTCTGAGACCCTGCCACAGAATGGATTAAAATCATGCACAGGCATAGGCCACAGTCTGAGAAATCAGTTTAAAGTCCATCTGGTCTGGAAAGAAGGTTGCAAAGACAAGATGATTATTTGAAAATTGTGGTAGAGTTCTCATTCAGGCCAGCTTGCAGTCTCTTCGGCTACAAGAGACAGACAGCCTTCACACCTATTGCCTTCACACCTATTTTTCCTGAGCAATCTGACAGGCAAACGCAAATACTTTACTAAGTGGCAGCTCTCCTGCCATGCTACCCCACCCAAGTGCCAGTTCTGGTTCCACAGGAACACGTCTCTGTTGTTCAGACAGAACTGACTCACACCTTCACCAGAACCTGTGCTCAGTTCACTTCTGCCTGCTCACACCAGGTTCCTGCAAAGAAGGGTCTCTTAGTGGCTTACTGTGACCCTGTGCTACGCAGAGAGAAACCTGCCAGTTTGGGTGAACACAGTCAGCAGCCTTTTGCACTTCATTATTTAACAGCTTCAGCACTTTTTTGTTCTCTTTGGAAGCCCTTTGTTGAGTCATAGTTTTGTTTTACATTTATCTAGCTCTTAAGAGCTTTCCTTGATTTAAATAATATCAAGCAGATAAACATAGGTTATTCTTCACAGCAGTAAAAAAAAAAAAAAGATTTAGCAAGTGATGTGCAATTCTAATTCATCTAAATGTAATAGCACAGACTACAAAACATGCACTTTGGAGCAATGAAATAAATCCATGCTTACTCGAAGATAGCTGAAGAATATATTTGTCAGCATTTACTACTTCCATTACCAATTTCTATTTTTCTTGTTCAGTACCTGCCCTTTGACAAACTGAACATTTTCTGTGAAAAACAAATTATCATCTATGTAGCAATTTCACTACCTACTGATAGGAGCAGACATACCTGAACTCCTCCAAATCCATTAGGAGCTAAGTAGCGTTCACACTCCTCAGCAATATCCTGCCAGCGCCATTCAAAGAGATGCACAATGGAGGTTCTCTTTGGGACAGTGTTGGGGTTGTACTGCCCCCAACAAAGCCCTAAAACTAATAGCAGAAAATAGATCCCCATCCAGTGCTTTGTGATCAGCTGGGCTCTTCTAACTAATTGTCAATGTTCCTGCAAGAGGGTAAAGTACACATTAGAAAATACACATTTAAAGGTAAACACCCATCCCTGGCATCACATTTATTTACCTGTTATTTTGTATGAGAACTGGATCTTATCTAAACTGTATCAAATTCCCGTACTAACATTCACTTTGTTTTCATGCACTTAAAATTAAGATGTTGCCTAATGCAGGCTGCCTCCAGAATGCAAAAGCTGTGGTTTTATTACTGTAAAGCCAAAAACTACCCCAAAGGGCAAAGGAATACTTACACAGACTGAAATGGACATTTTGTTTCTCATTTTAATGTACATTATTTTACATTCCTATTTATCATTTATCATCATTCCAAATGGTGTTGCTACAACTTGAACATATTTGGACACGACCTTGCAGAGGCAGCACATTTCTTACCATGATTTGTTACGAAACCCCAGATATTTTGGAGGTTTAACATATGTGAGTCTGTCATTCATGATATGCGTGACATCTCTCATTCAAACAACAGCCTGAAGCCTGGAAGATCTCTCAGACACAGAAATCATTAATTATAGTGACTCAAACCCAGAAATGCTAAATGTCTGATCTCTGCACACCTGTAGGATTTGTGTGGAGATATTCTCCTTTTAAGAACATGGGCGACGGCACGCAGATGTTGGAAGTGCTGTGAAGCTCCATAACCAAAAAATCTCCTTCCAAGTGCCCAAGTATAGAATTCTGCAAAATGAGCTTTCCACAGGCTTGAAGCTACATGTCCTTCTGATGAGCTAGGCTAGGAACTGCATTTCCCAACTCATATCCTATTTGCATTGACTTAGGGACAAACAAAGACAACCATCCTTCAATTAAACTTGCCTCTCCTTTTCCTCACCTAGAGATTGTTACACGTAACAAACCAGAAACCAAACAACTATCAAGGTTTACATTACTGAGAACCTTATTCTGCACTCTTCATGTTTAGAAGTTGATTTAGAGAGACTGGGATACAAAGAAATCCTACAAGAACTTCTGCAAACAAATGGCAGAACTAATAACACAATACTGAATCTTGTTACTTTCCTGTAAGTATCTATTCTTTATAGAAAGTTATCTTACAGTAACAGAGCAAAGAGAGATTCCTGTCACACGGAAACCAAACACCTCAGTGAAGGTTTAAACGTGAACACAATGGCCCTCAGGTTTGCTACACAAAGGAAAGCAGTGCTTTTCCTGATTTAATACACACTTGGGAATGCACTGCTGAAAACTCCAACCTGCTGTGATACAGTTAGCCAGACACAAATTGATATGAAATTTTATGAGACTTGGACAAAACTGCCCTGACTTCGCTTCAAGGAAAGGATGATCCATATCTCTCAGGTAGTGGAGCACTCTTTGGAGCAAACTTAGGCACTAAATATAGTTTATAAAATGTAGAATCAGCCTTCCAGAGCCTACTGCTATCAGCTGTCACTGATCTTCACAAGAAGGCAGTTATTTAGAATTAAGCATTTGGTATATTTGGCTTTTCTGCTTGTGAACAAAATAGCTTTAATACAATTATTTACTTGTAGATCTTCAGTTAAGTGTACAGATTAAGTTTCAGCCACAAGCAGTTGTTCTTTGTGCTTCCATTTTCATGAAGGAATGCTTTTTGGCCCTGATAGGAATAACATACATTAACAGAAAATGAGCTAAGAAAATTCCATCCTCTCTGATAAGAAAAGGCATTTATTAGACTGGCAAGTTTTACTTACAGCAGTAAATACACAAAGCAGTAAATGACACAAAGTATTAAGAATATATACCTTGATCCAACCAGCTCCAAGGCCTAGGCCTTAAAGATTCGACATAGATTTTAATTTCTCTGAAACAGGTTGATGGCTGCCCTGCCTTCAACACAAGCAATAATAAGGGAATGTGGATGTTGAAATCCTCACCGCACTCTGAAGGCTCTAGCTTCAAAATGTTTTTGAAACTTGGAAAAACGCGAAGAGGCCATGTGAAAGAGAGCAACTTTGACTGCAATGCAGAGAACCGCGGAGCGGAGGGTCTCTGCAGAGCCCTGCCGCTGTCTTGGCCAGCACGGGCACTCGGGTCACCGGGCCTTCTGCTGGGTCACGGCCGGAGCGGAGCCGCCAGCCTGCGACCGCGTTCAGATCCGCGGCCCGCCCGACGCTGAGCTGCGGGAGCTGCAGGTGCCAGAGGCTGTCACAGGGAAGCACAGCACTGGCCCTGTCCCTTCTGGCGGCTCCTCACAGAACCGTCTCAGCAGCCCCGTGTTTCCCGCGGGCGAAGCAAGCCCGCTGCGGCCGTCCCTCGGAGGCTGCCAGCAGGGCTCCCCGTGCGGGGCCGCCCCGCTCCGCCCTGCCCGCACCGCCCCTTCCGCCGGGCGCCACCGCCCGCGCACGGCGAGCCCGGCCCCAGGGACACCGCGGACAGGGCACCGCGCTCTGAACATTCAGTTTCCGCACCTCCTTATAAAGTATTTTTGTTCTGGACCACAGCACCACCTTGCTGTTATCCCACTTCGGCGCTTTGAAAATTCACTTTTGGGTCTTTGGTCCTGTACGTGTAGCTTTACATGGGTGTTAGGACATACTACTGTAGAACTATAGAAGCATTTAAGGTGAAATGCTCTATAGGATTGAAGGAACAATTACACAGTCCCCATGGGAATGCAGCAAGTAAAATAAGAATAATTCCAGTAAAAGCACTTCAAAGGAATCTGCTAAGCCAGCTCCTATTGGAAAAAAATAGCAAAGATAGACTTACTTTGGTCCAGCCACCAATGCTAGTGATTTAGACTGTTTGCAGCTGGAGTAAGGAAAAATCTACACCAGCCAGCTCCCACACGATCAGTTATCATTTAGTAATTTATGAGATAACTTTTCCTTTAAGTCCACTGGACTAGAATATCTTATCAATTAAATGACATTGCAATGTTTCCCACATGGTTTTAGACAGTTCCACTCACCAGCCCAGTATGTAGCAAATCCTATGTGATCACTGTTACCATCACCCTCAACAGGGCAAGAACCACATCTATACCAGTTTTAACTGCTACTCTGGTTTTAATTACTTCAGTCCCACTAGTGACAGTTTTCAAGTTGCAGATGAACAATGCAAGTGGATTACTGAGGAAGAACAGGGCCCAGTTTCAGAGTACAAATTCAGGACCATGCACTAGGCCTTCTGCTTGGTCTCCAAGACAAGAAGACCTGTCCTGCCAAAAACCCCAAGAATAGAAGCCAAAACAAAGAGAAGGCAGCAAAATGAAGAGAAGAGAAATAATTTATTAGATTTCACAAGCAATCTAACATACATTTATGATGTAGTAAGCCTTGTGATATTTAAAGATATGTGGAATCTTTAAGACGGGAGAATTTATTCTCTGCCTCCAATACTTTAGAAATGCAAGTACGCACAGTTCAAGAGTCCTGATGATCACACTGTTTCTTCTCCAGCTTGATATTACTTGAAAGAGAAGGAACACAAAAGGGACCTGGAACATCACAAAGGCATGTTAAAAGTAAGAACTACCAAAAAATAGTAGTGTTATACAGGCTTTTCACAACTAAACTGAAAGATGCTTTATGTTTTAAAAAGTGCTTAATGTCTGTGAAAAACACATCTTAATAAATGCAGGCTGTATTAATTTTATATTACAGAATGTTAAACAGTAATGTAGTATGAAACCCACAGGAAACATGTAGGTTACTAGGAACAATACTACCTAAGTGCAGACAGCAATGTAAAAAAACCCAAACAACCAACAAAAAGGTAGCAGTGATTAATAGTTGATTATTAGTCCAGCTCCAGATACTTAATTGCAAGATATTGTTAATTTTCTTCTTTACTTAAAAAAGACAAAGTAAGGAATGTATTAACTAAATCAACTCCAAATTGTTTCTCATGTACCAGGACAACAGTAATCATCAAATGATCTAAAATACTGGTCAACCCCTTAATATTAAAACTGCTCTGCAATGTATTTTAGCCAACAAATTATTATATTAATATGTTTTTAAAGTAAAACAAGGTGACTTGGTCAGTGTGAGCTCAGCACAGCTTCACACAGACCAGCTGGTATGAGTTAGAACTGTTCCTCTAAGGAACAGGACCACAAATTAGTAGGATATCTGAGGAAGAAGGTGAAGGCCACCTTTTAAGACTAAGAACCTTCATTGTGTCTATTCACACAACACAGACAACTCACTGGTTTCTTTTTCCCCCCCCTGAAAAAATCTGCTTTTTAAAATTATTAGATTAGCTCAAGTTTAAAACATATTAACTCCTCCCCACACCTACTCTATATGAAAACTTAAGATGCAGTTGAGTGCTACAGGAAACATTGCACAAAAAAGGATACAACAAGAAAGGATACACTCTGCATGACAGTATTATTGCAGTATTTACGCAGGAATGTTTCTAAAGAAGAACAGCAGAATGTGATTTAATTTTACTTGATTCTCAGTATTGCACACACATAACTTTATGCTACCTAGCAAAAAGAAAAAAGAAAGCAAATATGCCTCTTTGATAAAAACCAGTTCTAAACCCTTATGAGATTTAATGAGGGCTGATGAATCCATAAACACTAAGCTTCATATTCAAAAGAAAATACATTTTTTGGTAACTTCAACTATTAGGACACCAGCAGATTCTTCCATCTCCTTCAAGTCTTTGCCCTTTTAGAGACTCACTTTATTTCCATCATGTCCAAAACACAATAATGTTTCCCTTTAATGCCCGCTTTCAAACCACTTCTTCCTTATGAAGAAGCTGGAGACCTCTCAATATCAGTTTCTTCCACATAACTTTTCTGCCTAATAATTATATTTTAGCTACAGGAAAAATTCACTTTAGGTGAACTTTTTGCCAGTCCATCGATAAAAAGCCATTTCAGCCAGCAAGGAATTCTGCAGTATTTCATAAACCATACGTAATGTTTTGTCAAAAAAAAAAAAAAATTAAAAAAGGATAAAGCCTTTGTAGGTAAAGAAAAAAACTAAAAAACAAACAAACAAACAAAAAAAAAACCAAAACCAAACAAACAAACAAAAAAAAAACCCCAAAAGAAAAACAAAAAAAAAAAAAAAAAAAAACCCCAAAAGAAAAAAAAAAAAAAAAAAAAAAAAAACCCAAAAAACAAAACAAAACACACTCAACAACAGAAAAATAAGCCTAGACTTAAGCAGACACAAGTTTTTATAATGGAGTTTTACTTCATAAATCAGCATCCATCACAATATTGCAGCAGGAACAGAAAAACAGTCATGCAGAAATCGGGGTCAGCTTAACCATTACTTGGAAAATGCAACAAGTATTTTTAATTAAACCTCATGGATCCTTAGAAACCTGGGAAACTCCATGGCACACTGTTATGATTACAATATATAAACAGTCAAGCTACGTGAGAAGCTCTGCCCACGACAGAACACCAGGGACACTTGTAAGATGGTAACTCATGGAAGACTTTCAGGTGCACAATTAAATCTTGCCTCAGTATGGTTTGCTCACTCTAGAAAAAGCTTCTGAGTAGAGCATCAAAATAATAACAAATAAGCACTTTGCTATTATCTTTATGCAATTCAAGTATTTAGCATGTTTAATGAATTCAGAATTAATGTACAAAATGAGCTGGAAAAAAGGGGAATTCCTAAAAGAATAAAACTGCTCAGACTTCATCAGGTTCTCCAATAGCTAAATTGCTTCAATATTTTTTTAATATAAGAAACCACAGTAATCTTATTAGACACTAGATAATACAAATAGAAGGTTTTTTCTAACAAGAAAGGAGTGACAAACAAGACTGAAATAGCCTCATAAATACTTGATCCTAATAGAACACTTTAGCCAAGGCTCTTTTCAATGACCAGTTCAGAAGGCCTATAAAAAAGTGATCTTTAATTTGACAGAATACAGACTTTGCAAACTACAAACAGTAACACAAAATAGGAAGTAAGACCAAAGAGAGAGAAACAAGCCTAAATCTGATTTTAAAAATCCTTAGACAATGGATGGAATGAAGAACCTACAGTTAGAGTAGCTGTTAAAAATAGAAATACAACCATCACAATAACCACAGTGTGGGCTTTACAACCAATTTGTAAAATTCAAAAACAAATGTTCACATCCTTTACTTCAAATTCAGGTTTTCTTTAGAATAACAAGGATCAAGCTCCAGATTAAAACCACACCATGGGTTAAGCAATGTTTCATAAGCACTCAGGCTAAGACTTCAGTTAATTTTGTTTTATGTGGAGACATAACCAGAGTGATCTCAACTGTAACCAGAAATTAAGGTCAGTGCCCTTTAAATATGAGCTAACTCATGTATCAGAGGATGCAGACTGAGAAATAAATATTTTTTATTCTTGCACCAGTTACTTCACATGGTCATTTTCGAGTTCACTATGCAAATGCTTGCAGGCCATGAAACCACTCAGGTAAATTTGAGCTGATTTTGCTTGACTTACTCTCACATAAATGACATACTCAGAGTAGGGAGCAGTGAAGTAAAGCGACATGATAAAAAATAAAAGTTAAATAGCAACTATCTGCTGGAAGATACTTTCCCATTATGTTTAAATAATGCCAAAAATCAGGACCTACATATTCCACAACAAAGGAAGCCTTGATCAATGCAACATTAAGCAGCACTTTCTGACAGAATATCCTTCACTAATTCAGGCAAGTTTAAAGGTTACTGCAACAGCACTTCTAACTCATTTTCTGAAGCTAGCAAAGATTCTTTACAGCCAGCAGAAGTTTATTGCTGGAACCAGTTCTTCAGGATCACTTTACAACAGCAGGGATGGAAAGGAAGGAGGTAAGGGGCAACACTTTTCAATAGCAAAACCCTGGGAGATTACTAAAAGATAAGTGGTCCAATTCCACAAAATTATTCTCCTTATCTTTGCAGATTAAGGATTAGAGAAACTGACAAGTGCCCTACGGGATCAGGATTAGGAAAATATTGGCCTCTTGAGTTTTTTAACACAGGAAAAAGGGAAGTTTTAAACTTACACCAACTATATACCTCGCACTCTGTTTTTCTGATATAAGCACACATTTAAGAAAATAAATTTGTATGGAACATTTCTTCTCCATCATCACTATTCCTAAAGAAGTTGTTAAAGAGAGAGTAAATAAAACCAAACAAACACTAACAAAAAAACCCAGCCCAATCCTTTGTTTTTACTTTCAGGCAGAGAGTCCATACCTTGTGCAGGGTTTTACTTTTTTCTTTTCCCTTCGTTGGCATCCTGTTTTGGTCTAGCTGAACGAGCAAATTGCTGAGATTCTATTAAGGACTACAAGTGTCTGGTAAGTAGAAGTCAATTAGGAAAGACAAAAAAGATTACTCCTACAAATTGGTCTAGAAAGTGACCTTTATCTGTAAATCAATTCCACTACAGTATGAAGTATTGTAACAGTGTCTTATTAGTCTAAGATTAGGACCTCACTGATAAACAGTACAGGAGTTATCAGAGAGCCCATAAGGAGGACTAACTGGGAATGGGTTAGATGCAAACAGGGTAACTACAGTAGGATAAATGTTTGATATTTACAAACTTCCAACCCAGCATGTTAATTCTTAACTTTGATGTCTCAGTATTTGAGAGGAAAAACAGCAAAAGCAGCAGATGCTGGGGTTAATGTGAATATAAAGAAACTGAAAAAAATGTTTAAGTGAAAAATAAGAAAGGACTTTCACACAAAACAACAGTGCTATGCAATCAAAGAGAGACAGTTGCAGCTGAAAAACCCATCTGGAACCACTTACTCTTACAGGAACATTTCTTATGATCGTGATTCTGTAAACACACATCTAACCAAGTACAAAACCTTGTATTTAATTTAAATACAGTGGTCATGCAAGCTAAATTATCTCCTGCATTGTCTTTGCAGGATCAAAGATGTAAGACCAGCAAATTCTGTTCTTAAACCACTTTTACTTTCCTATTTCAGAAGAGTTGCCTCTGTGGTCGATGCTTTGTGTGAGGAGACGCAAATCTTGACTCCATGTTTCAGAAGGCTGCTTTATTATATTGTGATATATATTATATTACAATGCTATGTTAAAAACTATACTAAAAGAATAGAGAGCAAAGGATTCATCAGAAGGCTAGAAAGAACAGGAATGGAATGCAATAACAAAGGCTTGTGACTCTCCGAGAGTTCAAGCCAGCTGACTGTGATTGGCCATTAATTAGAAATAACCTGCATGCACCAATCACAGATGCACCTGTTGCATTCCACAGCAGCAGATAGTTATTACTTACATTTCTTTCCTGAGGCTCCTCAGCTCAGCAAAGGATTTTTCATAAAATATCATGGCTACATCTGTGTTTTTTTCAGCTGCCATAAATAGGGCACTGTGTTATCCTGACTGGATTTCTTAAGGCATTTTTTATTTTGCAGAACACTGTGACAACAAAACTTGGCAGAGATGACAAAGAATATAATGTAAATGTTTGAAGAAAAGGATACAACCACCATGGGTTTTTCAAATAAGACATAGCCATTTGCTTCTTTTAGTGCTTTAGCAGCTGCTTTCTCATTTGGAAGTCCAATGAAAGCCTGTCCCTTCATCCGGCCTTCTTTCATCAAACGGATATCAAACCTAGGGGCACAGTGGAGAACTGGGAATTACTCATGTTTAACAAACCTTGCAGATTTCACAGTACAAATGCACAATTCTCATGCTTCAGGTGGGAGAAATAGCAGAAACAGAAGCAAAGCCTACAAGGAGGCGTGATGTCCTTGGAAACAATTTTGCTTGGGGAAACCATTTACTAAAAGGTAATATTAAACTGCAGGATGGCAAATTGATATGCAGTACTACTAAATAAGACATATGCAAAATGATCAGATACACATAATCACCCACACAGCTCATTCTGTGTCACATAGCCAAGAAAAGCAAATCTGTGAAAGAAAATATAAAAGTAAAATAATAGGGTCTTCAGTCACTCATCATAAAATAACTTGATTTCTTAATCTTCAAATATAAAGATTTTTGAATACATTTTTGTTTATGCAGAAACACAGAAACACAGAAAATGTGAATATGGCTACTTTTAAAATCCCAGTTTTCAGAAGTGTCATAGAAGTTAATACAAAAGGCTTAATTCTAACCAAGTATGAAATGAACTCACATATTGCGTTCCACCTCTGACTGGAAGTCAACATATCTTCCAAAAATGAACTTAAGATCCTGAAATTAAAGTGTAAGTGTAAGATGCATGCTAAGAAAAAGCCCTTTTGACAGATATTTAATTTGCTTGCTTACTTACCTTTTCTTGAACTTGTTTAGCTAAATTCTTCACATATATCCTGCAATTCGGATCACCTGGCTCATAGTTTTTGAAAACAGAATATTTTTCCATTTCTTGAAGACAAAAAAAAAAAAAAAAAAACCATGCTTCAGATCATTTACTTTGCACATTTGTTCAGTATAAAATAATTTACTATACACTCAATTAATAAAAAATTATTTAAGCTAATTGTTGCAACAAAGCCAAAAGCTATTACTAGATAATCTATTCTCACAGTTATACCTTCTCTAGAAAGCCTGTTTTTTTCTAGATCCTTTCTAGAAATAAATTCTGATGGTATTTCATCATCTTCCTCTTCAGTTTCCATTTTATCGTTTGAGCTAGGAGCTGGGAAAATCCTTCCAAAGCCTGTATTATTGATTTCTTCCGTGGTTGCATAAAGGTCTGAAATTTCAACAAATTATGTAAGTGGTTTGTACCTTTATTCACACCAAGATCAAGAGCCAGCAAGAAAACCATAATCCTTCCAGCAACATTGTAATAGAGCAGACTTTGTAAGGCAATTTGAATACACCCTTAAAAATGAGTCTTAATCCCTGGATTGACAAAAGCACCTGCAGTGTACAGGCCTACAAAACCCCATGTAGTACAAATAAAGGCCATGGCACACATTAGTTAGCATAAAACTTGCTGTGCTGTTCAATCCTGTATCCATTTCACTATTTTCCCTTAAAGAAACAGGATATTACTGTAAAGTAACAAGAATCACAGATTGACCATAACCCTCTAAAAAGCCATCACACCTCATTGTTATCAGTGCTCAGCATTTTTATGGCAGCTAATCAGTGCACCAGAGAAAAGGGGTTGGCAATCACATGGACGCTGCTCTCTAAGAACTGGAAAAGGAAAATCTGAAACTAGCCTGATATATTCATTTGCACCATAAAACACTGAAAATTTGTAACATTTGTATCCTAACATTTAGAAGACAGTGCAATTCACCATAAACCACAGAGCACAAAGGAGAGAGACCTTTAAAAATCTCTGGATCCTTTCCAAAGCTTGTAACATGGGAAGAACAGCAAATACAAATATGATGCAACTTGGTGTTGAAAGCTCCAATACAGTAAGGGAAAAGAATTTCCTGGTGTAAATTTCAGCACCCTTTTATATGCTGAAGCCACATGACTTGAACATTAAATACATTTGAAGTACAAACTCTCTTACCATTTTTTTCTTCTTTTTCTGGGTTTATCTGAAGAACAGCTGGGATCTCAGTACTAATATGAAACTCTATTTTTTTATGACCTACGTGCTGCAGCTGCTCAAAGACATCTGAAGGTGACAGTGTAGGGTGCGAGTTACTGTTTAAAACAACAACAGATTAATTAAAGATTCAGACACTAATGAATGCATGGTCAAACACAAGATTTCTACCAGTTAGATTTTATGCTGTTGTTTACCACAAACACACGTTCTCCATTTCACCCAACAGAGTTTCAGGTGATTACAACACTGCAGATACAGAAGGTATGTCTGGCAGTGGGAGCAAAACCAACCATCATGTACCACAGTTCAATACACACATGCATTTATTAAAACCTTCATCAGTAACTTCAGCATGAAAAAAAACTGGCCTTGCTGCTGCTGTCATCTAGTATATAAAATATATGACATTTAAAAAAAATGCAGCAAATCACTTGGAGGAAGCAGGCAGCCATTAGTAAAAATGTATTCACAATCATTCATCACAACATAGAAATACTGCACTGCTGTCTACTGTGGCATAGAACTGCAAGAACAAGAACTGTTCTAAGACCCAAACTTATTTTAAAGCAAGCCAGTTTCTATTCTTCCAGTGTCATACTTTTAATTTTTTATTTTAAGAAGCAGCCCAAACAATAAATCCAAATTGCTTCATCACAGTTGTGATGTGAAAGTAATTATCTTTTTAGGAAAAGGAATTTCTATTCGTTTGAGAGGAAGAGAAACAGAGCTTGAATCAGGCACACTTTAAGGTTGTTGAACAGACTTTAGTTCAAACTCGAGGAAAATTTGGAGTTTTAGGGCAATAAAACCAAGAGGATAAGTGCAAAAACCACAAACCTGTGGGAAGTACACACAGGAACATTCAACATGTCTTTAATTCTTTGCTTTTTTCTAACACCACGCTTCTTTGTGTTTATTGGTCTTTTAGGCTGAAGGGTTGCTAATTCCATCAACTTGGTCATTCTATTTTAAACAAAAATAAAAACAAAACCAAACAAAAATAAAACAAAGAGGTTTACAGTTTATTTGAAAGTACTAATTTTAAAAACCCTTCACCTCTCCTTAAAGCCCCTGACATAGAACTTCTCAGAACACAATGGTAAAACTAACTACCTTAAAAGTGAAACTGTAACACATAGCATGTGCAAGAGCACTTAAGGAGTGACCAAAATCCTGACATGTCAGTGATGCCCTTCCTTGCCAAACATGCTCCTTACTGGGACACTGAAGCTGAGAGAAGCTGTGATGGCCCAAGCTGAACCTGATTTTACAACACTCAGCAGGGGTATCTTTTTCCAAATGATGTGTTTTTCCAAATATAGGATAGGGATTTTCTGATTTACTTCTCAGTTTAGACAGCAAAGGAAAAAGCTGCTCTTTAATTTAGAGTTAGTTTAAAGATAAAAAAAAAAAAAATACAGCTATGATGTAATTCTGTCCCAAAACTGCAAGAGAATCCTCAGCAGAAATATTATCACCCCTAGCAATACCTGCTGATGTACAAAGAATGTTCTCAAAGTTGGTGTGCACATATGGTTCAGGCTGAGGAGTCAATTTAGAAAGATGTGCAACAATGAAGACTTCAGAAAACAATCTAATTTCTGCTTCCTTATATCTGCACTCTTCATGATAAGTTTTTGTTTAGTTGGGTTTTTTTGGACACAGGAGCAAATGAAAACTTGCACACCAATAGGCCACTTTCCTTTTCTTACTGCATTTATACCTGCACTGTCCTTCTGCACTCTGAAGTTTCTCTAAGCATCTGGAAAGATTTCTACACACTCTCTACAAGATGCTACATCTATATACTGCAAACATTACCACTTGCTGAACTAGAAGCTGGCAAAGTAAAACCACCCCTTTTAGCAGGCCCAAAACCTTGCAAATGACTGTAAAATGCATACCTCTCCTTTTCCTCATCATTATCACTTTCATATTCTGATTCATCCCCACTAGACAGTCCTTCTTCCTCTTCAGGCAAAGGAGGCTCCTCAGGAGGCAGAGGTGGGATTGGGGGAGGTGGCACAGGCACTGGTAAATACTCTTCATACTAATGATGGGGAAAAAGTTGAAAAAATTAAACTTCTTGAAGGAAAAAACCTAAACGTATCTTGTTTTCTTAATAACAACAGTCAAAGCAATTAATGATCATTTGACAAGTATTTTCTCCAAGTATGCTTACAGGGATCTAGATACCATTTTAGTAAACTACATTACTAATGAAAATCTTTCCACAAGCAAAAAAAAAAATCTGCTTTCTGAAGCATAACAGTGAATGGTTTAATTCTTTTAAGTTGAGATGATAAAAAAATACAGCAACCATGGCCTTGGATTTTCATTTTGCACTCAGCTTCAAGGAGCTTCCTGAGAATACAGTCCAAGCACATGGATGAAGGCCTAGGCTGCAAAGCCATCTCAGTTTCAACAGTGAAACAACAGTTTGAAACATTCCTGTGCTGCTACCACAGATGGGTATTTCTTTGTTCTAAGTATAGTCCAAAGAATTGCTTTAGAAGACCAACAGGTACCCAGTGAAATGCAGCAGGATTTGCAATCCTCTAGAAATCTACATCTCATACTATGCTGCTGACAATTTAAATTGTGAATCAATCCTACAGTACTGAAAACATATTTAAAACATTACCATTGGAGGACGAGCAGTAATTGGTCCAAAAGGTGGAGGAAGATTCATTTTATTCATCAGATGGAGTACCTGAAATGAGTCAAAATAAGTAGGCTTCCTTTGAATAAGTAAGTGATAACAGCTCCTTGCTAGGTAAAACAGCCAATCACTCCTGGCAGGTGTAAATCAGCACTGTGTTAATGTTTGAGAACAATGTAAAACTTGCACTTGAGATCCAACACTAACAGTCAATACAAGGAACACCCTAACAAGGCTAATAAAAAACGTACAGCATCTTCTCAGAATGAAATTCCAGGTACTCAAGCTACCTCTAATTAGGAAGAGCATATCCAGTTCAGTCTTCAGTGCCAATTAAGTAATCCACCTCAGATTAATAAAATCTCATTACCTCAGCACAGTAAAAAACTAAGATTGGTTAACATTATCACAGAAAATCCAAGTTAGTATTTACAATGACAAAAATAATTACTTCTGTGGATAATTAAAAGAGAAAAAAATTAATCTCTTTAACTTTATAATTTTTTTTCCTGTTTTTTACTTACCTGGACATAAAATTTGGGCACGCTTGCCAAGGCATTTGCTATATTTGCTAGAATTGAACTTGAAGGTGGTGGATACAAATATTTGAGGCAAGAATTGATGGGAAAGGTGAGGCTGAGGAAAAAAAGATTGAAAACAAGACACCTTAACATTATTGCCACTTAGTCACCCATAACAACTAATGATTACTAGAGGCTTAACTATTGATTACATCTGAAGTAACACTGAAATATTATTATTTCCCCTAGAATAGTTTTGGGCTACTTAGAATGCCTTTAACATCATGGAGTAGTCCCCAGTGCACGACAGATTTACTGGGCTTGGGCATACTGAAAGTATCAAGCCATGCAGAAGCCTAAAGCAAACAGAAACAATCAACATGTCCAAAACCAAAAGCACAGCATAGCAGCCTGCACAAGTATCAGAAACTCAATGCTCAAAGGGCTGCATTAGCTTCAAAAATTTACTACTTCATGTGTGCTAAAATGAAAACTGGGGGCAGGGGAGGACTGGGTTAACACTGGGAGAACTTCAGCCCTCCAACCCCCCAAGAAAGCAATGCATAGTGCTAGAAGGCTGTTCTGCCATCCACAAGCTCAAAGCACCAGTCACTATGCAGATGTGAGGATTTTAAACTTGTGGAACTGAAACTCCATCTTTATGACAATTCCTACATGCCCGAGGAACAGCAGCATAGGAGTTATTGTTTGGAGCATCTTGTTCAACAGTTCACAACACATTTCAAAATATTCTGTAACAGAATAAAATACTTAAGATAAATAAAACTCCAACACTAACCCATGGTTTGGTGCAATTCCGTTCTCTATTTTAATACAGTTCGGTTCTATCTTTTCTTCTTTCACTGGTTCTTCTAAACTGAAAATTAATTTAGTTTTAATTAAAACAGGGCAAAAATTAGGTATGCCTAAAGTAATATATAAAATATGCATAATTTATTAATAAATATAAAAATAAATTAGCACAGGTGTTTTTAACATCTTACCAATTGCATTACTACAGCTGTTACCAATTCTTCATAATTAACACATGACTATAATTACAGTAGTGACAGTCTTCTAAAATAAATGCTTATGCAGATTTAAGTAAGACTTCCTGTATTCAAACACTCCTGACTTAAATCCACTCAAAGGAAAAGAACTGAAATTATTTATCATGCACTCTCTTCAGAGGCCATAAATTCAAAGGTATTAAACTACTGATTTGTTCATATTCAGAAAGTGGAATAAATAACTTGAAAACTCTACTACAGTATTTTTAATTAAGCATAGCTTAATTATCACATAGCTTTTGTCACTTATTTGCACATTACACAGGTGCAAATGAAACAGTTCTGTTGGGAGGAATGCAGTCACTGTCCTATAGATCTGAACCTGTTTGTTAAGACTTCCAAGTGGTTTAAATTTATCCTTTGATAGTAATACCTAAGTACCATGAATCTAGAATCCCCTTTCCTTGACCACAAACATAACAAGGAAATTGCTCTGCACATACCTTTTGCACTTGTCTGAGACAGAAGGCTGGCTAAGTACCTGTGCACTCTCTTGCTCCTTTGCAAATTCAACAACTAATGTGTGACCCAAAAGTTTCAGCTGATGCAGTCTTGATAAAGCCTTCAAGTAATTACAGAAGAAGAAGAGAAAGGTAAGAGGACACATGAGAACTGTTTTAAAGCATAACTGTTTTTCCTTTGAGTGGTACACTGGCCATAGGATGCAGACCCAGCTGGTTTAAGCTAAGCCTGTGCTAATGTGGACATGAGAGTTCTGCTCTGTTTGTGTCTTCCCAGCTCTGCTTTTAGCAGCATTTCCTGCTGGCAGGAAGGAAAGGGACCAGGCTGCACGAGGCTGGTCACCTGAACACAGCAGCAGCCTTAACAATCAGACTTTTCACACAGCCTACTAAATTGCTGGAATTTTAAGTAACCAACCTTTTGCTCCTGAAGTACAAACATGCTAAACTCTGTCAGTAACAGCTAGGAATTTTAAAATCAAGATTTTTGACAGTGGTGCTAGGAAGATCCAGCATTCTTCAAGTCCAGAGCCCAGCAGGCTGCTAATAACTGGCACAAGCACCTAACTCACCACCGTTCACCTCACAGTCTTTTAATTTTTTTAGTCCTTTAAAGTGTGGCCTAAAAAAACCACACATAAGCAATGCAAAAAAAACCCCAAACCCAAGGTATAAGGGGGAAGTTCTGGCACAGCCTTCTTAACCAGACTAGTATTTAAAAAGCATTATTAGTATAATCTTTTTGGCATACATATCTCCTATTAATACAGTCGTTTTCTTATCAAAGTTGGGCATTCAAGGCAGACTTGGATTGTGAGAATCACTAGGGCTGACTTTTATGGTAAACACACAACTAGACAAGGAAACTCTGCTTGGTTTATAGCTTGTATGTAAATGCACACATCCTAAACAGTGCCCTGATCAGTCTCAGCTTCAGTAAGCATGCCAGGCTCTGTCAGATGCGTTCCACAAACCCCTTTTGATCCACCTTTCTTAGGACTCTAAGAAACACAGAACTGTTCAAGAATTTTATCAAGTCCTGCAGGCAAATCCTGAAACAGAACTCTCATACTACATTGTGGGGTTTTGTTTTTTCCTAGCACTAAGTACCAGATGATATGTAATTAGAGCATTGGCAATTCAGTGCTTCGCTAAAACCTTTAGTAACAGACTCAATACAAACCTTTGCAGCTGCGTTTTCACTGGGAAAGGTGGCAAAAGCAGTATGTTTCTAGAAAACAAACAAACAAAAAGTTATAATGTATTTGAATCAAAAATGTTAAGAGATTGCATGTAACACATTGAGCCACAAGCACTTTCTTAGTTCGAGTTTACATATTTGAAAGCTTCCAGATGGGAGTGTAACTCCCATTTGGGGCAAACGTGAAGGACTAGAAACCATTTTTCTTAAGAATTTTGGAAAAGTACCTCTTGCAGTCAAAATTAATGCATGAGCTCAGCAGTTTGACAAATACAGGACAAGTGGGTTTTTTTTCTTGCTACGAAAGTTGTAACTATTGTGCTCTGAACGTTTGAATGGTTTCTAACCCTCCCCCCTAATTTTCCAAATTAAATCAAGTCCTCACAGAATACACCTTTCCAAGTTGAATTTATTTTAATAAACTTTATTACCCCATCTTGCCACTACATGATTCCGCACCCAAAATCATTGTAAGAAAGTCAGTATATCTGATATCCTATAAAGCATGATGAAAGTCTGCTAAAATATGCAGACATCTATCTGCGGTTCTGCAAAACACAAAGCTCTTCATGAAGAGCGCTTATCACGAAACAAATACATCCATGTTTTCGTAAACCGGAGGAAGAAGAAAGCAAACCAGAGATTTCAATGGGCCTGTGAAACTGCATCCCTGCCCGCGCCCAGAGGCCCTTCCTCACGGTGAGCCCAGCCCGCCGGCAGCGGCAGGAGGCCAAAGCCGCGGCACGGGGCTCGCGGCGGGCGGGACGCCAAGCCGGCCCCGGCCCCGTCCCGACCGCCCCGCGGGGCTCCCCGGCAGCGGGACCCCCGCGCCTGTAGGGCTCCGGGCTCAGCCCTGCCCCGGCCCTCACCAGCCGCCCGTGGTCCGACAGGACGCGCACAGACACGGCCCCGAAGTGCTGCAGCAGATCCTCCTTCTCCGCCGCCGTCAGCTCGGCGGGCAGGTGCCGCACCAGCAGCGTCCGCCCGCGCCGCCGAGAGACGCCGGGGTGCGGCGGGACGCCGGGGTGCGGCGGGCCGGATCCCAGCCCCGGGCCGCCCGCGGGTCCC